AGCCGTCAGGAGAGGTGACAGCAGCTGCCTGTTCAGTAGCGAGTTGTTTCTTACAAACTGCTTTCTCCCACCCACACCAGAAACTGTGCTGCGCCTGTTCTGGCTCAACCTCCCCTTCAGATCGAGAACAAAGGATACATCTGAACTCTCCGAGCTCTCATGGGACACTGAGTTCTGTGTTTTGCAGAGCGATGCCAAGAAACAAAAATTAAAAAGAGGCTTCTCCAACTGTCAAAATAACCACCAGTTGAGAGGAAGTGAGTGCGCTTGCATCTTGGGCCCCTCTGATCCCAGACATCCTTGAGCAAGCTTCCTCCGGGCTATCACACCAGCACCCACTTTCCTGATCTCCCTGAGTCACTCAGGCACATTCTTACTTCCAGTGGTGAGGCACAGGGAGACACTCTGGCCCTTCGCTTCCTGGGGAGGGAGGAGCCGCCATCTTCTCGGGTGATTCAGTACGACAATGGCATTATGTAAAGGTTGTATTTTTCCCTGCACAGGGATGGGTCCTCCTCCTCCTCAGCTTCCTTCCATGGCAGTGGTGGAGACCACATGTCAGGACTGCAAGAACTCGGGTCTCAGTGCTGGGTCCAGTTTCCTGCCAGATCTCTGGTGTATACTAGTAGTGATTTCACTTTAGTTAAGTGATAACGCCTCAATGTGTCCGTCCACCATGCTAGCCACCCTGGAGATCAATCAGCCACATGTGCCTAGAAGCCACTGGGCAGGGCCTCCAGGTAAAGTGCTGCACTTGTCCCTGTCTTGTGACATTCAAGAGCTTCACAGCCGCCCTCTCAGAACTCAGTGTGTCAAGTGCAGGGACAACACTGTGCCTACCCGAGGTCAGGGGTTGGACTAGACAGTGCCAGCACAAGGCTATCTCCACCAAGAGCCGACATCCGTAACAACCTCACCACCTGTCACCTCATGCAATCATCCCCGTGGCTCACAGGAAGAAGTGGCATTAGTCCAATGTTTCTAGAGGAAGAAATCTAGGACCTGGGGCAAAGGGGTTTTCTGAGCCACGTAGCCGGTAAATGCGAGAACAGGGGTTTCATTCTCCATACCCCACCCCGTCTCTGGGATACCCACCCACACCCCTCGGTGATGAGATCCTTGTTAACACAGGCGCGTCATGCCTCCCATTGGGGTATCACCTCAGCTGTTAGGGACTGAGCACTCCGCTCCCCTGAAGTCTTTGTCCCTCTGTCTCTGTTGTCTGTCTGTCTGTCTCTTCCTCCCTCTTTCTCTTTCTGTCCCCCTGTCCCTCTCCTCTGTTTATAGGATTAAGTTACACAGAGCTGTACCAGTTACTTTTCTCACTGGGGTCACAGAATACTTGGCAGAAACCACGTATGGAGGGAGGGGTTGACTCTGGCTCACGGACCAGGGGATGATGGCATTGTGGGATGCAGCTCCATGATGGAGGAGAGTGAGAGGCAACATGTCCCATCTGGCTGGCCGTCGGGAAGTAGGAAAAAGTGAAGAGAAAGCCTTTCTTCTGTTCACTTTTCCCTTTGCATTCACGTCAGGGCTGGAGTCCAGGGGATGGTGCTGCCCACATCAGTGTGGCTCCGCCCTACTGAGTTAAACCTCTCTGGACGTTCCCCCACAGTCACGCCCAACGATATGCCTCATGCACACCCATGTGTCTATTAGTCCAACTAAGTTTATCAGAATTAATCAGACTTAACTGTTTAGTCAGAATTAGCCACCGCAAAAGTCCTCTTACAACGGGAAGAGGGTATGTGTTTGTGGTATATATATATATAATATGTATATTATATATATTAGAAATATATATATTTCATTAGAAACAATGTTCAAAGCAAGAATAAACCAGAGGAAATTAATACAACTGGGCAGATTAAGGGCTTATCCTGAGTATATTAAAATGGACATTATATTAATAACGACACAAGTAAAGCTAACAGGAGCTGAGCAATGCTCTGGAAGAGATAGTTGACAGGGAGGGCCCTCTTTGGGGACAGACATGACCTATGTCTTGACCAGCGCGGCATTTCAGGGAGTTGGTCACCGAATTACACACTTATGCTCAGTGCCATTTATATGAAGTCTATCACAGCCCAATTAAAAAAGGAAGAAACTATATAACTGCAATACAAACTCAAAAGTGCTTCGTTATCAGATAAATACCTCTTTCTGAGTTTGCCATAAAATCCATGCAAGCAGACTGAGGTGGTTTGGAAATGTCAAGGCTGGATTGTTTGACTACAGCCTGTGAAATGGGCTCCCAAGAGAAGCCATACTTCAGATGACATCATCAGGCAGCATTACTGTTCTCACCATCCTCCACTGTCCCGTGTGACGTCAGGACCTTTCAGTTACAACAACAGTCTCATTGGAGCAGTCAGAATTGCAGTCCACACTAGTGACCTGTGTGGCCCTGTCCACACCCGGCCTGTTCTAAGGCCGGAAGACGACACTAAAGACTCCGTATGCTCCCTCCACCTTGATCCCACATGTGTGCTGTGGCTGCAGATGCTCATGGCAAAGTACAGAGTCTGGTGTGATATGCAAGTGGAACCTGGTGTTGGCACCTTCTGGGCATAGCAGAAGAACAGTGATTAGCTTGCCCATGGTTAGTTACTTCAGGACAGCTCACCTGACCCAGGTCATGCCTGGTCTCCTGTGAGTCATTTCCAACATCCTTCTGTCCTGGGTTTCCAATACTCCACTTCATCCAGACTCTCCCAGTGGGATCATAGAAACCCTCCAGGCAGTCTGTTGGGCAGGGGACAGGGCCAGACCAGCTTCCCTGAAGGTCTACTGGCTCACAATGTAGAGAAGGCCCCCCTTGTATGCATACACAGCTCCCTGCTTGGCCCCGGCAAATATTTTGTACCTCTGCCTAGGGCATGTGGCTGGTAGCTTCCTTAAACCGTGTCTTCTAGGGCTGACTGAGAAGCAGCTCTGCTCCTCCCCGCTGTGGCAGGGAGCCAACCCTGCCACCCTCTCTGACACGCCCTATCTTGACTTCCCACTGGTGAATGAACACAACTGTGGCTGGGTTGCTTTCAGGAGCTCTATCTTGTCCTCCTTAGGTGGCCTGGCCCCTCCCCTTGAGGTGTCCAGTCTTTGCTTCCTTGGCCTGAGGCTTTGGTCCTCGGCCTGAATGTCTAAGGCAGACAGAGGAACCAGAGGGTGAGGCTGTAGTGCAGGAATTACACTCGGCACACTGGCTGACAGTGGCCTCCTCTTCCCATGACTGCAAACTCCTTGAAGTCAGAGACCACGTAGATCTTAGTCGCTCTCACACCCAGCTCTCACACTCTTGCACAGGTCTTATTAGTGGATAAATAGAGAAGACAGAAAAAGAGTAATAGTGATGCTCAATGCATAAATTCTTTGAGGGGGGCGGAGGTTGTGTCACGTGACTAGGTCATTTGTCTGATCTCATGCTTTTAGAGGCTTTTCCTGAGCGCATAGTGAGGAAAATCTGAATGGGTCCTTCACTAGCCATTCAGACATTCACCTGAGTTGGAGGAAGAAAGCTGCAAGCCCAAATCACAGCCGCAGCTCCTTTTCAACGTCATTCCATGTCTGTGACATTTCTCAAGTGGACCGAGTCTCTTCAGAATGACCGATCAATAGACAACTCAGAAAAACAAACAAACAAACAGAATTGCCCTAGAATGTTTCAAGTCTGTGACAGCCACTCAGGTAAGCAACAGGTCTTAGTGGACTTGCCAGCCTGGAAAGTCCCTCAGAAGATCACAATGACCACAGGAGCCAAGAGCAGCGAAGCCTGGATATCTTCAGAGACCTGGGAATTGTGTAAATGATACACAAGGCTTTGCAGCAGGAGGTGTGTGGGCACATGTGTGTGTGCGCGCTTCATAAAAACGCTTCCTTTCCACAGCAATGCCAACACATACACTGTAGTGTAGAGCCCAGCTTGTGGGTCCACTGGCGGACACAGCCCGTGTTTTGACTCCCTTTGGAAACTAAAGGGCAGAAAACGACCTCGTGGAGAAAGTGAACAGTAGCGGCATTAAAATGTAAACTCAGTCCAGCAGCAACCAAGTGGCTGTCTGCCAGGAGCCCAGCACCACAGAGCTAGTAGAATAAAGACAGATGCACACCTGCAGGGGGCAAGCATGTCTGCAAAGCGTGTTTCACGGCTGTCTGCAGAGAGGCAAAAAGAGCATCTCTTCCATCCTCAGCAGGAGGGGTCTGAATCATAAATATCCATGCCGCCCTTTATGCTTAATGCAAAGTAGTCTAAACTTTGTCCCATCTTTGACCTGAGCCAGTCAGGGCCCTGGTCTTTCTAGCTAACACTTGTACAGACTATTAGCCAACATCGGATCCAGGAAGGCCTGATGGGGAGTCAGCAAAGGACTGCGCAGACTCAGAACCGATGAGGTAAAGAGGGGCTTGGCTTTATTTTGCACAAGGGGAATAAATTCTACAAATGTTTTGAATAGAAAACCGTGAGATTTCTTTCATCTTAAAAAACAAAGTCGTAGGAACCAATATGTAAAAAGACACGAGGTAAGATTTTGTGAATTTTGTAAATTTTGTGAATTGGTCTAAGAAAGCCCTCCCCAGTCATATAAAATTTTGGCCTTTATGGGGTACTGTGATGTTTGCCTCCAGGGACTCTGGGCGCCACTGAAGATGGAGGCCTCTGCAGCGCCGCTCCACTTTCAGAGGGGACCCTGAGAAATGTAGCCCCAGGGTACTCTAGTGCAGTTGAGACCATGGCTGTAGTGTGGGAGGTGCTGCTGTTCGCACATGAGGAAGAGGGGAGCCCTCCCTCCCCCCGCCCCGTTTACCAATGCACTTCGGATTATCAACAGATGTAAAATGGCAATGTTGGAAATACGTGTGCCTTTTCTTTACATCTTCCCCTCTTAGCCTCCAAGTCCCAAGGCTTCTGACCACAGTGTGTCAGGAGATTGTTTACACATGTAATGACTTCAAAAGCTAACTTAAACAAAAAAAACTCCTTGAAAGTAGTCTCTACATACCTGTGCATGCTTGGAGACCCAGTGACGGAGGACATTCAGGACTCGATTGGTGGCTGTTCTCCGTATGATAAACTCCTTGTCACATGTTCTCTCAGTATTGTTAAACCCTTTGGAGGAAAAAAAAACACACACACATTGTAGTTAGGGCCAGTCCCCGGGGACTAGAAAAGGTCACTTATTTTAGGACTCCTGTTAATGAAACTCACAAATGCTGCATGGTGGCAGGGAGGGAAGTGGCTTTAGATGTGTGGATTCTGCTTGCTTATTACATCTCCCAGTCGGCCCACCGTCGTTACAGGTGCAATTACATGAATAATGCACATGTATTTATTAAAGGCCACTGAGGAAAGCTAGCGACCCACTAATGACATTTCTATTTATGCCTCTCATGAGCTACAACACAAAGCCAAGTGGGAACTTTAACAAAAGAAGTGGAGCCAGTGTGGATCTATTTATACCTGTGCCACAAAGTGGTTGTGTAACCAATAGTACTAGATATCTGAGCTTGCAGGTAAGGTAAAATACTCTATTGTCTGTCTGCAGACAATCAGTATAGCCAGTGTTTGAAAAGAAGTATTTGAAAGTTGCTAAAAGTATGGATTCCAAATGTTTTCACCTCAGAAAACTTGTAAGAACATGAAAGATTTGTTGATAAGTTTGAATCACTACACAATATAAACATACCAACACATCTCTTTTCTACTCCATGAGTAGATAATAGTTATGTAGTTGGTGCTTGTCAATTACAAATAAAATAATTCAAAACAGAAAGACTGGCAGAATTGAAGCTTCTGTCCTTGAGTTCTGGTAAATTATATCAGTCTCTGATGTCTCTTACGTGTCTGTCTCATAGAGTTGTTGTGGAATTACTCTTGTTAACTAAAAAGTGTTAAACATTTACCACAGTACCTGCACAATGGCAAGAGCTCACATGCCAGCCGTTACTATAATTCGACATTTATCTGGGATCTTTGGGTGGGTGAGCAGGTGTAGTGATCTTGGGCTTCATACATATGAGGCAGGTTTCCCACCACCAAGCTCTAGTCCAGTGTCCGGAGTCCCTCTGTACAGCCATGTCACTGCCTTAGTTACCTTTTCATTGTCAATAAAACAGTACTACACACTGACTCCCTTTTAAAAAAATATTCTGTGAACCAATAATAATTAAGCAATCTATTTCCTTTAAAAATGAATACATCTTGGGTTGGCTGCAGCTCCATGGTGAACCACTTGCCGAATATGTTTAATACCCAGGGGCCAAGTCTCAGAACACAACAACAATAACTCCTCTTCAAAGAACTGTCTACACTTGCTGATTCCATTTCCTCACCTCTGACTGTCTCCATGTCTCACTCCAAGCTTCTCACACCCTCTCACCCACCAGCAAGACAGTCTCTGTGAGGTCACCAACAGCCTTCATATCTATGTATCCAAGGGGCGCTCTGCAATCACTCCCTCAGAAATGTATCTTTTAAGTGACTCCCTATAACTCACTACTCACATATTTACAGTTCCTGATCTCATCTCTGAGTTCCAGATCCAGGTTTCCAACTCCTCTTCACACTTCCCTCTTAGATATCTCAAGCACACCACGAGCACAATAAGCTCAAAAAGAAAGAGGCCTTTCCCCCAGACTCTGCCCTGGCTGGTGTCATCATCTCAGGAAAGAAAAACCACCATTCATCATGGTAGGTAAGCCTAGAACTTGTCTGTCTCTCCCTAGATGATACCAGCAACCCTCCTTGGTTTAGTTCTCTTTTGTCTCCTTAAGTCTGGAATCCCAGGAGCCAAAAAGACCTTTTTAAGGACAAAATGGATGTGTCAAACGAATGTTGAAGACCTTTCAAGAGTTCTCACAATAAATTCAGAAGTCCTCAACACAGACTAGAGGGGTTCTCAGGGTTTGGTCTTTTGACCTCTCAAGCACACCACGAGCACAATAAGCTCAAAAAGAAAGAGGCCTTCCCCAACACAGACTCAGGGGTTCTCAGGGTTTAACCTTTTCTGGAACCACACGTTTTTATTTTGTTCCCATCTCTCCATCCCTAGGCCTTTGCACAGACTGCTCCATACTGAAACAAGTGGTGCACCCCTTTTCAACCAGTGCAAGCCACCCCCTCCTTCCCAAATGAGGCCTTCTGACTGGAGCAGGGGAAAGTTCTCATTACATCTCATAATAACACAAACATTCACTTTACAGCACCTACCACACAATGGAAGACTCATCTGTGTGATTTTCTGATAAATATTTTGGTTCTTCATGAAGAGGAGGATTTAGTATATTTTTGCTGAGCCCAAGCATTTCTCCAGTGTATGTCATAGACTGTACATTATATGCATTATTTACTTTTTATGACTGGAGTGTGTGTGTGTGTGTGTGTGTGTGTGTGTGTGTGTGTGTGTGCGTGAAGCTGAAGACTCTTCTTCCTCTCTCTTTTTTAAATATGGATAGGAACCTTCCACCTGTGGGCAGACATTTACAATTCTTTCAGGGGAAGGTGATGATGAGCTAGCTCTTGGCAGCCTAGATATACCAGAAAGCCTTTAATCCCAGTACTTGGGAGGTAGAGGTAGGTGAAGCTTTTGAGTTTGAGGCCAGCCTGATCAACAAAATGAGTTCCAGGACAGCCAAGGCTGCACAGAGAAAGCTTTTTGAAAGAGAGAGGTGGGGGAGAGTGAGGGGGAGAGAGAGAGAGAGAGAGAGAGAGAGAGAGAGAGAGAGAGAGAGAGAGAGAGAGAGAGAGAGAACACATTCTGAGTAAAGCATAACAAATATTACTCCATCTGAGTTTACAAGACAGTAAGAGATTCTCCAGATTCAAATACACAAGATTATTTGTGAAAATCAGAGCCAAGTCCCTGGTGGAGGGGGCTGTCCTGAGAGGAGGGGAGAGCTTTCCCATTCTGGCCTCGTGGGATTGGAATCACAGTATCTAAGTTGTTCGAGGCAAGAAGCACCAGAGCCTACATGAAGAGCGAGGGCAAGGTGGGAACTGATACTCCCACATAAAGCTGGAGTTCTCAGAGGTCTGTCCCCTGTGAGAGGGTAGACCAGGACATGATCTATGATCAGAGTAGACACTTGCCTGAAGCTGGGGCTATCGCTCAGTGCAGAGACTTCTGGGACCTTTGACCCAAAAGAAAGAAACTTGCTTCCTCAGCGTGGATTCCAGCAGAGTCTGCAGAAAGTCTCTGGAAATGGCTAACCACAGGCCCAGGACCTGATGCTCAAACTGTGTGTCTTCCTTGATGAGAAGTTAAAGTAGGGGTGGCCGAGGCCCTTGAGAACCCTGTGGACTCCAACAACAGTGCTCAAGGCCTTGGTGGAGGAGCACACACTCATCCCAGCTTATGTAGAGTCACCACCCCTGAAGAAAAACTCACCACCCCAAATCACAGATCAATAGACACACAGGTCAGGAACCCACCATGCCACACTCCACGCTTCTACCCCTGCCAAATTATGGAAACCTTCAGTTTTAAGGATTGGCTGAGCAGCAAATCAGGGCCAGGCACTAAGAACCAAGCTACTACTTGTCTCAGTTTTCTTTCCTGCTGCTGTGGCAAAACCCCCCAACCAGAGGGACTTAGGGGAGAAAGGGTCTATTTTAGGTCACAATTCTGGGTCACAGGACATTGTTGCAGGGATGTCAAGGTTGCAGAGAAGCCAAAGCAGCTCGTCACATCACACCCACAGTCAGAGCAGACAGAAATGAACATTCGCATGGATGCTTGAATAAATCCATTATTTCCTTTCTCATACAGTTCAGCACCCAAGTCCAGGGGACAGCGCCACCTACAGTCAGTGTCTTCCCACTTTAATGGACATAATGAAGATAACCCCCACAGACATACCCGGAGTCCAACCTAGACAATCCCTCATTGAGACTCACACACCAGAGGATTCTAGAGTGTGACACATTGACAATTAAAAATGATTGACACGCACATGAATTGAAGATTAAGATTTAACTGTATAGACCTTTCCCCAGACACATTGTAGATCATGTCAAGCCTTGTAGCCAGCATGCAATTTTAGATCATTCATTCTTTTGTGAAGCCTTTTTAGTTCCAACCCCTTTAAGCCTTTCGGCTCCATACACAGTAGACACACAATTGTAGTCTTCTCTTATGAAAAATTGCATCATTAAAAACAATCCATCCAAATGTTTCTGCAGATTCCACCTATGAGAATGAAGTCCATGAAGGGCTCTCTGACAGGCCCAAACACTGCAAACATGGTACTGGCTGTCTTACCCTCCCACTTCCTTCTTCCTTACTAAACTATTAGATTACATTTGTAACTATTCACCAAGTTCTATTCCCTCATTTGGCCACTTCCTTAAGCCTAACTCATTCTTGAGGGTGAACACCAAGGTCCAGCTATCAAAACTCATTATTTGACTACACCAACTAACATGTCCAATCAGGACTTACCAACTCATCCTAACACAGACTTCTCCTTTTTCTCCTTAAAAACCACTCCGGTAGAGACACCACTTGTCTCCGTTTTTTTTCTCCATCTTCTTTGCCTGGTCCAGAGGAAGTCCCCCCACCCTTGCTTGTCCCCTCCAGAGAAGTAAAACCTCCATTGTGACAGGAATTTGGTGTCCGGGTGCATTCTGTGTGGACTCTGAGACCCCTTTCAATCCATCTTTTCATTACATTGCCATAATGGCTAGTTATCAAAACTGTCACAAACACAGCAAAGGGGAAGGGAGGCTAGGAAGAAAGGGAAATGTACATCTTCTCTTTGAATGGTGTGATACGCAGCCAGCTTCACACCTCATTTTGTAAGAGGCAAGCAGAAAGAAGACTGGCAATATGGAAATAAAATACGCACATAGGTAGGCTACGGTGAGTCCTGTTAGTGTCGTCCTGAGCCAATGATCTTGCTGTCTGTGACCCACGTGGTGGGCACCTGGGAGGTAAGTTAGTGAAAAGTCTTAGTTACTTCTGCTCTTCTTGTGGAATTGTTTTTGATAAACAGTTGCAGCGTGGTGAATGGGAGAGCTAGGATCACTTCAATGATCCCAACCATGGGAACAATTCTTAATGAAGCAAGAAAAACATCAGTTCAGTGACGGTGTCATTTTCCACTTGACAC